GACATTGTTTGCTCCTGCATTCAAATCCTGGCTCTGCTACTCACTATCTGTGTGAATAAGTGTTTTTTCTCAGTCTTATTTTTCCCAACGGTAAACTGGGATTATTCTTGGGTTACTGTGAGGATTAAATGAGTTAATACATGCAAAGCTCTTAGAACAATGCTTGGCCCATAAAAAGTGCTCAACGAGCATGAATGACAACTTACATGCTTACATTATGCCCACAACACACTTGGCATTATAAAGAGATGGTATGGAGAGGTCTGGAAATCCAGGATTTCAAATACCCAAATCCAGCCTTGCTGCCTACTATGGCCTAAGTGAACCCCATCAGGTCCCCAAGGGAAACTGGGCACTAATAGAAATACTCCCAGGGACCAGGGCGGCAACCAGAATGTGTGAAGAGGGTCAACCCGACACAACAGGAAGAGGTGGGGACGTGGGGACTTGGCGAGCCCATGCCGGTCATCAGAGGGCAGCCACTGCTCCACTCCAGCCAACTCCTGCAACATGGGAGGGTGGGAACAGTGTGGCTAGGCCTGCCCATTTTAAAAGAAAAGCCAGAAATCTGGATTTGTATGTCAAGTTTTCCAGTGTTAAAACACTCCATGGACTAAACACAACATTGTTGGTGCAGAGCCCCCACCTGGTGATGCCTGAGCTAACACAGAGAGCCTTTCCAGGCCAGTGCCCGACTGTCAACACTCAGGGCTTTTGTCCCTAACTTGCCTGCAGTCCCCTGGTGAGCTGATGAAGCCATTCTGAGGCCACTCTTTGGCCTAAAGCAGGAAGCATAAGGCCAAACAGACTGAGTAGCCCATTTCCCCATATATCCAAAGTCACTCATCTCGGTCCATAAGATGGGGGTGAGGAAAAGAGAAACCAGGGAAAAGGGGGGGTTTCTCCCCAAAGGACTACAGGTCCTTGGCCTAACCCACCTCCTTCAGGCATTGCCTGGATAGGGAAGGAAGCCCAGGACCTCGTGATGGGACCAAAAGGGAGACGAGAGGTTTAAGCCCCTGTCATCTCCATCAGTCACCTCCAAAGAACATAATAAGGAATCCAAGTGACAAAATGTGCTTGCTATGCCAATGCAAGTGCAGAACAAGATTGCTCACAATGAGATACCACTTCACACCCACTAGGGTGGCAATCATAAAACAGATAATAACAAGTGTTGGCAAGTATGTGGAGAAATTGGAACCCTCATACAAGGTGGGAATAAAACGGTGAAGACACTTTGGAAAATAGCCTAGAAGTTCCTCAAAGGGTTAAACATAAAGTTACCATTTGATCCAGCAATTTCACTCCTAGATATACATCCAAGGGAATTGAAAACATGTGTCCACACAAAAACTTGTCCACACGTTTGTATTCGTTGTTTATAAGAGCCAAAAAGTAGAAAGAACCCAAGCGTCCATACACTGATGAATGGATAAACATAATGTGGCATATCCATGCAATAGAATAATATTTGGCAACAAAAAGAAATGAAGCACTGATACAGGCTACAGCTTGATAACATTATACTGAGTGAAAGAAACTCGTACAGAAGACCACATATTGTATGATTCCATTCATATGAAATATCCAGAATAGGCAAATCTATAGAGACAGAAAGTAGATTAGTGGCTGCTGGGGGCAATGAGGTGAGGGGAAGTTGAAGTTGATAGCTAAAGAGTATGGGGTTTCTTTTGAGGGTGATAAAAATGTTCTAAAACTGATTGTGATGATCGTTGTACAACTCTGTGAGTAAACCAAAATCCATTGAATTGTATGGTATATGAATTGTATCTCAATAAGCTGCTTAAAAAAAAAAAAAAAAAAAAAAGACTGCCGCCCTTAATCACCCTGTATTAAAACATTGTGTGCCCAGATCCCTCTGTCGGCATTAGCCCTTCTAGAGGAGAAGGGGTAATCTTCCCTCTAAGACCCAGGGCTCAAACTAGGGTGATCAACTGGCCTGGTTTGCTCAGGCTATGCCAGTGTTAACACTGAAAGTCCTATGTCCTAGGAAATGCCTCATTCCTGGGCAAACTGGGATGGTTGGTCACCTCAGTGCAAAACTTTCCATAGCATGGGAAAAGTTTGCCCTTCAGTGCTGCCAATGCTTAGAATTAAGTTTCTCGGTCAACAGTGCTTCCCCCTTTTGAGTATAAGTCGTCCTTGAGCTCCCCCTAAAGGTCAAAAGGTATTATTATTATTGTTGCACACATTTTGCAGATGAGAAAACTGAGATTCAGAGAGGTGAAGTAACTTGCCAGGAGCACACAGGAGCCGGGAACTGAACCCGGGTCTGTTTCCAAAGCTCAAGATGTCCCTTCCACTTATCATGTTTCATCTTATCATACCACTGGGTTGACTGTCCGACAACACCCTTGGCTTGTTCTTGTCCCCTGGGAAAGGTAGTCAAGCACCCAAACAGAAGAAGCACGAGTTTTCAGTTATGTAAGAAAAGGAGACAGCACAGCTTGGTGGCTAATGACACAGACTCTGGAGCCAGACTGCCCCAGTATGAATCTGGGCTCTGTCACTCATTAGCTGTGTGCCATCAGGCAAGTTACTTAACCATTCTGTCTCCACTTCCCCATCTATAAAATGGGAATAATAAAAGTACTCTGTGTGTGTGTATCATATAGGACTGTTATGAGAAGTAAATACATCAATAAGTTTAAAAGGCTTAGAATAGAGCCTGGCATATAGCAAATGCTGTTAGAGTTTGCTGAATAAATGAAAGTAAGCACAGAGTCACACATTCAGAAGTGGAAAGAAATCAGATCAACCAGGCAGTAGGTCCAAGTTGCAGAAATGAACTCTGACATTCTGCTCTGTTCCATCCCATGAAAATGTTTATGGTTTAGGAATTGCTAGAAGCTCCCAGATTATAGATATATCACAAAATGCTACACGGCAGTGGCAATCTGGGCAGACCCACCAAAACGGAATGATGCAATGCAACCATTGCGGACCTTCCCAGGAGCCTGCCCCACTACCTTGCCTAGAACTGGCTGGAGCCCAGGGGATCCCCTTATATCATACCTGCCCATGAAGGCAAGGAGAGTTGGGCATCCTCCCACTGGGGCAGCACCTATCACTCAGTTCTGCTCTCTGAGGGATGTGTGATCAACACCACTTTATAGATGTGAAAACTGAGGCTCAGAAATACTCAAGAAATTTGTTCAGGGTACAGTTGGTAAGGTGTAGAGCTGGAATTCAAACCTGGGTTGAATTCTAAAGCCCCTATGCTTTACTAGTCCCCCTGTATTAGTTATTATTGCTGTGTAACAAATTACCTCAAAACTTAGTAGCTTAAAACAACAAACATTTATCATCTTACATTGTTATTGAAGGCCAGACATCTGGGAGCAGCTTAGCTGGGTGCTTCTGCATAAATGTCTCTCATGAAGCTGCGGTCAAGCTGTTGGAGGGCTGCAATCATCTCAAGGCTGTACTGAGACTGGAGAATCTGGTTAGCTCAGTCACATACCTGCTGGCAAACCTTAGTTTCTTGCTGGCAGTTGGCTGGAGGCTTCAGTTCCTGGCCACATAAGCCTCTCTATATGGCTGCTCACAACAGGGCAGTTTGTTTTCTCAGAGCAAGAGATTCAAGAGTGAGAGAGCAGGCAGACAAGAGAGTGCCAGAGACAGGAGCTGCAGCCTTTTATAACCTAATTTCACAAGTGACATATGATCACTTCTGCCATCTGCTATTGGTCACATGGGCCATCAGTGTGGGAGGGGACTGCACAAGGGTGTGAATACCAGGAGGTAGGAATCTTGGGGGCCATCTTGGAGGCTGGCTACCACACTTCCCATCTTTCTAAAGTAAAACGGTATAAAACAAAAGCAGAATGGCAATATCCTTGCAGAAATGTTAGAGAAATAAGCCTTAGTCTACATTTTCTGTTGTTGTTATTTTTTTTTAACAAACATTAATTCAATTCTTCTAAGGCACTGGGCTGGGCCCCATGAACATAGGACTTAAATCTAGAGTTCACAGCCAGTTATGGCAGAAAGCAAGAAATCAGGCGAGAAAGGGAGAGGTTGAGAAAGAGAACTGGAATCAGGTCTCCATGACAATGTGGTTTCAGTTCTTCTATAGTTCAGGCAGGGGTTCACACTCAGACAACCTGGGTTTGTTTTGCTGGGCCTAGAGAACAGCCCCCACAGAAAACTGGGGAAAGGAAAATGAGGAGGCAGAGGAACAAACGTCCTTAGCTGCTTACCAATGTCTGGAATTTCACAATTAGATATTCTTTCCGTACCTTGAATTTATCAGAATGTTTCTGAGCCAGATTTTGGTAAGACAATGGGAGTGAGAAAAGAAAGAAGAGCCAAGTAAAGGAAATGTGAGGTTGAAGAGCTGGGGGACGGGGGGTAAGGGTGGTTCCTTAAAAACCAAATTCCAGGAATTTACCATTTGGATCTGTGTTCAGATAGGACCTAAGAGCAGAGGGCAATCTGAGCATTTTGTGCTGCCGGTTCAAAAACGGGCATTACATTCATTATAATCAGGGGCGGATTTACCAGTTAAGCAAGGTAAGCACGGGTTTAATTGAGTCTATTTGCCACTCTGTAGCGCACCATTTCACACGGGTTTCACCACATAGTTGATGTGGTGAAAAACAGGTGAAAGTATGCACTACAGATTAGTGAATAAGCACAAATAAGCCCGTGCGTACCTTGTTTATTGGGTCATCTGTCCCTGACAAAAATACGTTGTTGAGTCAAGGGAAAACCAGAGTTTCCCTCCCTTCCCCTGAGCTGGCAAGCAGATGAGCCAAGCCAGTTTCCTCCCCTGAAAATCATCCTCCGCACACGTTCTTGAGTCCTGCGACCCTCTGGTGCCGGGCTGAGCCAACGGGTGACCGCCCGTTTCCAGGTTCCCCTCGCGCCCACAGCGCGGTGACCCTCGCCTCCTACAGGACTACAATCCCCAGCATTCCCCCCAGGGCCCGACAGCGCCACATGACCGCCCATCGGCGAGACGCGGTCACGTGACTCAAGAAAGATGGCTGCGGTGACAGCCGAGCAGTTTGCAGCTCTCCAGATTCTGCTCAAGGTAAATCGGAGTGGTGGGGACAGCGTGCGGCGGGCTTTTGTTCCCGGGACTTTGGACGGAGCAAGAATTGGGAATAAAGGGACACTGGTTTGGAGCCATACCTTTGCCACTATCTCTCAGTGTGACCCTGACCAAGTCGTTGCGCCTTTCTGAACTTTTTAAAACCAAAACCAAAAATAGTATCTCCCCGACAGGATGATGAGGGAACAGATGAGATAACGGACGTGAAGGAGCTGTACAAATGCCCCCTACTATTAGTCTGGGGATGGCTTTCGGGATTGGTGCATCGGGGTGGTAATTTCTAGGTCCGTCTTGGGAGTTCCCCATTTCAGCCTGCACCCCCTCTGCGTTCCAGTATTGAGAAATTCTCCCCCTCTGAGTGAGGTTTGTGGTTTGTGTACCTATGAGGCATGGGTTTTCTGTGCTCACTTTGACATATCTCAGGGCCAAAGCACTCTTCTGATAATCATTTGGAAGATTATGAGGTTAAAAGGGCCGTATTTCATAGGATTTTTTAAGATCAAATTAAATGATGGATTGGAATTATTTGCTTAATGCCTGACTTCCTTTCTATCAGAAGGGATGGCTTACTTTCCTTCATAGAACTTGTCACTAGCAGACATTATACGTCCATTTGCCTGTTGCCTCTCGGTCTCCCAAGAATGTAATATCCGTTTGTTGAAAAGGCTATTTTTCGTCCATTGAAGTGCTTTTGTGCCTTTATCAGGAATCAGTTGAGCATATTTGTGTGGGTCCATTTCTGGGTTTTCTATTCTATTCTAGGTTCTCTACTCGGTTTCATTGATCTACATGCCTGTCCCTCTGCCAATACTACACAGATAATTATAACTGTATAATAAGTCTTGAAATCAGATAGACTGATTCCTCCCACTTCATTCTTCATATCAAGATTGTTTTAGCTATTCTATTTCCTTTGCCTTACTATATAAATTTTAAAAAGATCTTGTCTATAACTACAAAAAAAAACTTGTTGATATTTTGATAGGAATTGTGTTAAACCTATATATCAATTAGTGGAGAATTGATGTCTTCAGTATATTGACTCTTACAATCCATGAACATAGTATGTCTCTCCATTTATTTATATCTTCTTTAATTTCTTTCATCTGTGTTGTGTAGTTTTCAGCATACAAATCCTGTACATGTTTGTTAGATTTATACCTAAGTATTTCTTTTTTTTTTTTTGAGTGATTGCAAAAAGTATTGTATTTTTGATTCCAGTGTCCACATGTTCATTGCTAGTATATAGAAATACAGTTGATTTTTGTACGTTTATCTAGTATCCTGTCAGCTTACTTAACTCACTTATTCATTCTAGGCTTTTTTTGTAAATTCCTTGGGATTTTTTGCATAAATAATCATGTCTTCTGCAAATAGGGACAGTTGGGATCTTACATGCCTTTTATTATTTCCCTTTTTTTTTTTTTTTTTTCTTTTTGCCTTATTTCAGTGGCTGGAAATTCGAGCACTGTGTTGAATAAGAATGGTGAGAGCAAATATCCTTGCCTGGTTCCTGTTTTAAGGGGCAAAGCACTCAGTCTTTTACCATTAAGTATCATGTTAGCTGTAGGTTTTTTATAGATCTTCTTTTATCAAGTTCTATCAGTTTTTGCTTTACGCATTTTGCCACTCTCTTGTTTGGTGCATAACATTTATGGTGTCTTCTTGGTAGATTGACCCCTTCATCATTATGTATAATGTTCCTCTCTGTCTCTGGTAATTTTCTTTGCTGTGAAGTCTGTTTTATCTAATATTAACGTAGCCACTCCTGCTGTCCCTTTACTAATGCTTGCATGATATATTTTTTCCCCCATTTTACTTTCAACCTACCTGTATTGTTATATTTGAAGTGAGTTTCTTGTAGACAGCATTTAGTTGGGGCATGTTTTTTGATACATTCTGCCAATTTCTGTCTTTAATTGATGTATTCAGAGCATTTACATTAATGTAGTTACTTATATGTCAGGGCTTAAGTCTTCCACTTTATTTTTTTGTTTTCTGTCTGTTGTCTGTTTTTTGTTTCTTTTTTTTCTTTTTCTGTTTTCTTATGGATTATTCAAACATATTTTAGAATTCAATTTTGATTTATGTATAGGTTTTTTCAACATATTTTTATAGCCTTTTTAGTGGTTGCTCTAGTCATTACCAGAGACGTATATTACATATATATTTTTTAATTGCAGTCTACTGATGTCATCATTGTACCAGTTGGTGTGAAGTTTAGAAACCTTACCTCTCTTTACATCCCTTTACCTTCCCTCATTTATAATATATAGTTGTGGTAAATAGTTGCTTTACATACACTTATAACAACGTGTTGTCCGATTAGGGTCTGTGCCCTGTAGCAGTCAAGCCAATGAAACATACTCCAAGTCAGAAAAAGAGAGAAAGTTTATTAGGAGGTGACACCAGCAGGGAGCCCGACAGCAACATTGGCTGTCTTCATGGAGTCCCAAAAGACAATTTTACATTAGAGCTTATATATCATTGTTGCAAGGGTTACACAGTGTCTTTAGGCACATAGCCCACAGATGGCCGGATGGATTATACATTACAAGACAATTACAAGAGACTCCTTATCAGACTAAAGAGATACATGCCGGACATCTGGACTCTAATCTTTATGTTGGGGGTCATAAGTCACATGTGGCTGGATGGAATAAAACAAAGTCATTAACAAAAGTTTGTGGACAGGAGAAGACAGGCAAAAAAAACCTTACAGGTTAGAGTATTCATCATGGCGGTAGTTATGTCAAGCTCTCAATTGCCCTTTTTGGAAAGGAGAAAACATGGTGCGAAGTGTTAGGCTCACGCACATCAGTGTTATAATTTTTGCTGCGACCTTCAAACGTAATTTAGAACTCTCAGGAGAAGGAAAGCCTATTATATTTACCCATAGTTTTGCTCACTGTGTTCTTTCTTTCTTCCTGATGTTCCAAATGTTTCTGTTATCATTTCCTTTCTGTTTAGAGAACTTCCTTTAGCCTTTCTTCTGGGGCAGGTCTTGCAACAAAATTGGTTTTCCTTTATGTCTTGATTTCCTCTTCATTACTGAAGGGTATTTTCACTGGGTGTCATGCCATGACAGACAATATTATGTTCTAGAACATGTGTTTTCAGAGTCTGAGTTTGTTTCTTCCCCTTTGTGAATTAATTCATAGGCCTCCTCGAAAGATGTTGTTAGACAGCTGTGTCAGGAGAGCTTTTCCAGTTCATCCCTTGGCTCAAAAAAACTCTTGGATATAACATGTTCCAGCTTGTCTGTGACCCAGGAGGAGGCAGATCAAGTAAGTCTGGTCAGAAATGCCCTTTGGCCACTGAACTCTCTTCACTTGTTAGTCTCTTTCTTGATGTCCCAGTCATTGCCATGTCCAAGGAGATTTTTCCCCTGAAATGTCTGTTAATGTTACGGCAAACTTAAGGTAGATGACTTTTTTTAATCTTAGTGAATTTAAAAACTGTTGGTTTTGAACCCTTCCCTACAGTAAAGGGGGCATCGATGGGAGTACTACGCCCAGAATCAGAGCTCCTGACCATTTCCCTTTTCAGACTAGTTACCTAGACAGTGTTAACAAAAACACAACCTTTTTGTGATTTTCTTTCCTAATCTGTAACATGCTGATGCCGATAAAGTGTCAGTCGAATAGTTTAGGGCAGACTTTTTGGGGATCTTTGGGCAACTGTCGCTTCGAGGCCTGAGTGAGAGATTAGGGAGAGCAATATGCTGGGTTCCACTGGGGTGCTTTGTGTACCAGAGTCCCTCCCTCCTCACCCCTTTGCCCCACATAAAATTCCCATCTGCTCAGTTTGCCTGGTCTCAGCTGGTGGCCAAGAGCAAGAGTAATGTGGTTCATATTCAGTTATGTAGCCCTGACAACATTATCTTTCCAGGAAAAATATGTTTCTGAAACAAAAATTGAGTCATCCAAACTGACCTATGTTAATTTTTTCAAATCTGGTTGTAGCTTTATTCATTGAAGTCAGCTATAGAAAAGTAAAAGGCAGAAGCAGGATTCCGGAAGTGTGCTGGGGGCTTAGTTTGGGTTCTTCTAAAAGTAGGCCCTGAGGCAAGAACTTGGCTACAGGCAGTCATTTGGGAGATGATTCTAGCAAACACAAAGGAGAGTGGGGAAAATTAAACTGGAAAGGGAGACAAGCCAATAAAAGTGTATGCTAATGAATGGTTACTGCTGTGGGCAACTGGGATTCAGTCCTCTTTGGGATCCTCTAAGACATCTTGGGAGCCTTGGTGTTTAAGCGTTAGGCTGCTAACCAAAAGATCAGCAGTTCGAATCCACCATCTGCTCCTTGGAAACCCTATGGGGCAGTTCTACTCTGTTCTGTAGGATTGCTATGAGACAGAATTGACTCAGTGTCAATGGGTTTTTTTGTTTTAAAACACCTCACGAAAAGGAGCTCCCTTGACACAACGGTTAAGCACTTGGCTGCTAACCAAAAGGTTGGTGGTTCCAACCTACCCAGTAGCTCCGCAAGAGAAAGACCTGGCAATCTGCTTCTGTAAAGATTATAGCCAAGAAGGCCCTATGGGACAGTAATACCCTGTCACATGGGGTTTCTATGAGTTAGAATTGACTGGATGGCACCTAACAACAACAAGACACCATGTGGAACTTACCTCAGCATGTCCCACTGGAGGGCAAGGAGGAAGGAGCGTTTATTACTAACTCCCACCCCTCACTGGTCAAGTGTTAATGTCTCTGCACTTCTGGGTTGTGCCTGTCTGCAGCCAAGCAAGCTCCCATGGTATCAGAGAAAGCCCCAAAGCAGAGAAGCATATGGAGAGGCTTCTTAGGTTCCACTAGGCATTAATGGTCACAAGATTACCATAGGTTGCACTTGACTCCAGATTCACTTAGAAGGCTATGGGGTGGGCACACAGCTTCTAGCAGGGCAGCACCAGGCAGTCCTCTTCCACAGGAAGTCCTCAAAGCAGTAGTCCACACAGTCAGCCAGGAGCTCTTCTCTTTGTCCTCCCAGGTGATAGCTTAGGTGCAAGGACATGAGGCTTCTACCACCCTGGATTCAAACGCATACCCCACAGGAGCCAGAAGCTCTCATAACAGTCCTATCAGCACAGCTTCAGGTTCTCTCAAGGAACAGGTACCCACACGTGGAGAAGCCCAGAGCTGTGGGGTCCCCCCAGGTGTTTGTTCAGTCCTCCTAGTCCAGACTGATCAAAGTGGATGCTGAGGCAATTGGCCAAAGCAACGTTGTCGAGTAACACAGCTGACAGTCCACTTCTGTCAGGTTTCCAGAGGATCAGCACTAAAAAGTGAACTGAAGGTCTGATTCTCCTTCAGAAGGAAAAGGGGTTTGTTGACCCTTTACCCACAAGCAGAGAGTTCCCGGCAAGCTGGCAGCTTCCTGTGTCAGGTAGCTGCCTCTGTCTTTCTAGCAACAGGTGAATACAGAGGTGAACAGCCTCAGGTCTCAGTAGACCCAGTTGAATGACTGTGGCGGTGTGCAGCAGGCCCTCTACCGGCAGTGGGGGGGATAGAGCCCTGACCCCTAGCCCCTGACCTCTGGCCCCTGCCCCCTGCCATGCTCTCCTCACCACCAGGGCTGCCCCATCTATCCTGCAGCTACTCCAGTCTCTGCACCACCTCACAAGGCTGGCAGTGTTCCGGGACCTGTCCTCCGCCGAGGCAATTCTGGCTCTCTTTCCTGAAAATTTCCACCAAAACCTCAAAAACCTGCTGACAAAAATCATCCTGGAACACATGTAAGTGGTTATTTCTTGAGGGTCAGTTCCATTTAACTTTTATTTATGTTGTGTTTATTTTTATTCCTGTTCTAGAAGGAGCACTGGTGGCACAGTGGTCAAAGCACTTGGCTGCGAACCGAAAGGTCGGTGGTTTGAACCCCCGAGCCGTTCCATAGGAGAAAGATGTGGCAGTCTGCTTCTGTAAAAAGATGATGGCCTTGGAAAACCGATGGACAGTTCTGCCCTGTCCTATAGGGTCACTATGAGTCAGAATCATCTGGATGGTAATGGGTTTGATTGTGGTTTTTATTCCAGATGTAATAACATGTCCATTGTTGAAAAGTTAAAAAACACGGATAAGCAAAGAAGAAAATATGACACCCATCATCCCACCACCCAGAGATTAGCAGTATTAATTCTGTAGTGGCAAGTCTTTTACCCCATTGCTGTTCAGTCAATTCTGATTCATAGTGACCTTATAGGACAGAGTAGACCTGCCACATAGGGTTTCCAAGGAGCAGCTGGTGGGTTCTAACTGCTAGCCTTTTGGTTAGTAGCCGAGCTCTTAACCACTGCTCCACCAGGGCTCTGGAAAGCTTTTTAGGGCTTGTTTGTTTATTTTTTTCCATTTACACATACAGAGAGAGGTTGGTTTTTTGTTTTTGTTTTTTAATAAAATGGTTTCATGCCATTTTATAATTTTACTTTCAGTCAACAGTGTTAACATTAATGGCATTTCAGGGCAATAAATGTTTACCTCCAACATCACTTTTACTGGCTAACTGTATTTCATTCTATGAAAAAATTAGGTATAATGTAATTAAGAACTTTCTTGGTGTTGGACATTTAGGCTATTGGCAGCTTTTTACTTCAGTAAACCATTTATAGCTGAAACTTTGCTCACATGCTTAACGAGCATTATCTCTGATACTAGTGATATCAAATATATTTTGCATGTGTTTATTGGTCATGTTTATTTCTTTTTCGAATTATCTGTGTATTTTCTTGGCTGGGAAGATTATTTTAAATGCACATAAAGCAGAACTTACTATTGGTTAGCAACAGGCTTCAAAAGACCTCTCTAATATTAATAACTGATAATGCCCTATTTACAAAAAGTTTTGCTGTTTGTTAAGAACTTTCTCATACACAACCACATTTGATGCTGACTCTCTTGGTATGGCCCCGTGTTGCTGTTTGTTGTAACATTAGACAGGTCTGTTTAGATGTGTTTGGCATAAGGCTGCAATACTTTGTGTAGTAGGTGCTCAGTAAAAAGAAGGTAAATTGACCTTTTCTCTGTTTTGTCTCTGAGAACAATAGCACAACAAGATTACAATGCTTTTTTTTTTTTCCCCCTCAAGCTATGAAAACGCCCAACTAACAGCACTTATGGCCTTAACATCAGTGAGCTTGTAAAGCAAATAAAATGCTGCTTCTTGGAGGAGCGGTCTCTGTGGTCCTTTCCTGCCAGGCAGGAGGTGATTACAGGTCTGTAGATCACAGGAAGAGCAGAGGCCCGGGTTCCAGGGCCTCTCTGATCAGAAGGCTCAGTTCTCAGCTTTTTCCCATTGTTTTTCCCTCATCTTTCCCTCCTGAGCAGATCTACGTGGAGAACTGAAGCCCAGGCAAATCAGAGTGAGTACCAAGAAGTCGATCTCTCCCTTCTGACATCCTACCCTAGCCCCAGCTCAAAGTCTGACTGATGGCCAGTCTTTAACCAAAAACCAAAGAGAACTATTCTAACCCCAAACCACACAACGTGTGTTGTGGTTTTCTTTTTTAATTCCACTTTTTAATTTGTTTCTGATTATAAACTTAATATATGCATACTACTAAAAAATATAGAAATATGCAAAGCAGAAAATAAAGTACTTAAAATTGTATTACAGTTAGGAAAAAAATAAACAGTCATTGCAGTTAGTTTGAAAGATTGAATAAAAGTACGTGTTTACCCTGAGCCAGTCACAATGCTGGAATACCTTACCGGCGTTAACTCATTTACTCCTCCCAACAACCCTGTGAGGAAATAAGATTATTCCCATTTTATTGAGGAGGAAACTGAGGCTCAGAGGTTAGATAAGTGGTAGAACTCCATTCAAGCCAAGTCTGTTTGTCTATTAAATGAGCTCTTACCACTGTTGCTGAAGCTACACATTTCCTAGGACTCTGGCCATGACCTCATCTTCTCTACGCTATGTCATTTCTCATTCTGTTCCAAAAGAGATGGAAGGGTTGGCTGTTTGGGCAGAAGCCTGGAAATGCTGCCCACTTCGGGGTGATAGGGACCATGCCTTGCTGTGGGGCCTGGGGCAGTCTACCTCTCTGTCTCAGAGGCTCACTGTATGGATTAAATGAGTTCTACATGTACAGCACTTAGAGCTGTGCCTGTCACAGAGTCAAGGCTTGGCAAACACGGGTGGTATGAGCACTGAGCTGAGCTGTCCCCTCCACAGTCTCTCTGCCACGCCTGGTCGACCTGGACTGGAGAGTGGACATCAAAACCTCCTCAGACAGCATCAGTCGGATGGCGGTGCCCACCTGCCTGCTCCAGATGAAGGTATTTCCACTGTTATGCTCATTAGGAAGAAAGAAGGGCATGACTTGGCACCCTTGTAGACCATCTAAAATGCTGATCCCCAGTCCTTTGTGATCTTTAACCCCTTAAATGAAAAATAATTCAGCACCCCCTCAAATATGTGTACACGTAGTCCCCAACTTACTATGGGATTCCATTACAACAACTCTGTCGTAAGTTGGTTCTGATGTAAGTCAGATACCTCATTTTTTTTGTTTTGTTTTCATTATGAGTGCCTTTTATTATCTTTATAAATCCAGTCTTTGAACATCTGCAAGTGAACATCTGGGAATGATAACATCAGCATATTACACACTGCAACATTGCAGTGCATACTACTAACAACAAGATGTAGCAGGAAAAAAAAAACAGTTGTGGGTGGGGCTCATTGTAACTCAAATAGGTGGTAAGTTGAGGACTACCTGTATTTATTTACAAAGTATACATGTACTACTGTATTAACATATTACGGACATAATGAAGTATATACAGAAAGTAGAAATTTTAAAAGGATGGACAAACACAAAACAAATATTTTTTAAATAATTTACTGATACTTAGAAGTACCATATCCACTTAGAGGGAGGTTTAGCTTTAACAATAGGGGTGTGCATTCAGAGTTCAAATAGTCTTTTGATAATTTCAGTATATTTTAGCCAACTGCCTGTCCGTTACAGTTAGACTGCCACTGTTTGTAATGTGGCTGAGCAGGAGCACCTGTTAGCAGTTGGAGAAGTTTCAGGTCTTCCTTTCCTTGTCGTTCACTGGTCTTTGCATCGGTGGTGTTATCTTCATTCAAGGGTTCTTTTCAGGAATCTTTTTAAGCCACCTATCCATTTTGTAGGATTTGTTTAGTTAAAACTAGATTGTGTCATGCTATACCTCCATCACCAGGTACCCAGTAAGAAAATTAAGAAGTAAGGGTGCCTCTAACAACTAAGTTTTCAAATATCGTTGTTCTTACTGTTAGTTGCCGTCGAGTTTATTCCAACTCACGGCGACCCCACATATTTCAGAGTAGAACTGTTCCATAGGGTTTTCAAGACTGTGACCTTTCGGAAGCACGTCACCAGGCCTGTCTTCCAAGGCGCCTCTGGGTGGGTTAGTAAAACGTAATTTCTTCCTTTTCTCTAGATGCAAATTAATATAACTAGAAATTCTAATATTTTTCTTGCATCTGAATGTATTACGTAACGTACCCTATGGAGCCTACTGTTTAATGTACTGATGTGAGCACATGTAATGTTTTCTTACTGTAATGCTGAGAGTTTGGGTGTCAGAGAGGCGAGGGAAATCTTAGCCTGGCCTCTGATACCCATTCAGAGCACTCATTGCAAACAGAAATCTACCCAGGCCGCTCAGGCGACTCCTTCACTCTCTCCCCCAAAAGCCAAATGGCTCAAGGGCTAGGATTCTCTGTGGCTCTTAGCAAAGAGCCTCTCTTCAGAGGTCCAGCAGAGCAGAGGCCAAGCTCATTGGCCCAGGGTCCCTTACAGGGTGATAGGAAGAGAGGCAGCCTTGACCTTCTCCCATGTCCTCTTTACAGATCCAGGATGATCCCAGTCTGTGTGGGGACAAACCCTCCGTCTCAGCTGTCACCATGGAGCTGAGCAAAGAAATGCTGGACACTATGTTAGATGGGCTGGGCCGCATCCGAGACCAGCTCTCTGCTGTGGCCAACAAGTGACCCCAGCCAGCTGCTGGCCCCTCCCCCTCCACGCCTCAGCGGTTCGTCAGCAGTGGCGCACCTGTGACACGCACACTGCCCACACAGCAGCAGCTGCAGCCGACAGCAGGCAGGGTGGCGGGGCAGAAGGGGTGGCCGCCATCCAGAAGGCACAGTCCAATTGGAAGGAAGCCGCCAAGCTCGTCACCGTCCTCCTCGCTCATCTTTTTTTCTTTTTCTGAAGCTGGTGAGCAGAAGCCTCCATCTTTCACTGTTCTGTGTGACTTAATTACCACTGTGGCAGTGGGAAGGAACATTTGTGTTATCAGCTGCCTCTGTTTGGCTGTTGGAGAAATTCAGGCCCAAGGTTTGGAGCTTGTCTAATAAGTTCATTTCTAACATTAGCTCTCATTAGTTCATTTCCAGCCTTGGAACACATGGAGTGAAGCGGTAGGTAACCTAGCAGTTCCTGCTTCTCTGTAAGAGAAGCCGAGCAAATCCCACAAAGCAGTGCCACTGCAGAGCAGCCTGTGCCCTCCCATAACCCCAGAACCCTCCCTGAGCATCCCCCAGCCCTGCCGGATGCCCTCTTCAGTATTAGAAGTCTGAAGTGGCTCCTAATTCTCCAGGAAGCCATGAAGCCACGGGCTCCTTCCTTACTAAAATACAGCCACTCCAGGGCAAAGAAGTGGGAGTAATTGGAAATAAATGACATTTTTAAAATTTTCGTGATTCTGGTCATGTGTTTTGTAGCTTCTGTCCTTTCCGAAGTTGTCACTTTAGGCCAGTGCTGTCTCTCATTCTTAAAGAGGATCCCAGCCTTCCAGTTCCCAGCCAAGCCCATGGCCCACGTGTGACGTGAAACCAGGCCTATGAACCTCACAAGCATCCATGTTTCTGTCTGTCCCGTAGAGCAAGAAGAAAGCAAGGTTGATGGTCAGTATGTGCTTGTACAAGAGCTATGATGAAGGCACTTCTGTCTTAGTAATCCAGCGCTGCTATAACAAAAATACCACAAATGGGTAGCTTTAACAAACAGAAGTTTATTCTCTCACAGTTTAGGGGGCTAGAAGTCCAAATTCAGGGTGCCGGCTCTAGGGGAAGGCTCTCTCTCTGTCGGCTCTACAGGAAAGTCCTTGTCTCTTCAGCATCTGTTTCCTGCTTCTTTGGATATCTCCACGTGGCTTGGCACCTGTCTTCCCCTCTCTTGGCTTGCTTAGTCTGCTCCTTTTATATTTTGTAAAAGATTGACTCAAGACACAGCGTACACTAATTCTGCCTCATTAACATAACAGAGACAACTCATTCCCAAATGGGATTATAACCACAGGCAGAGGCTACAGTTTACAACACATATTTTTGGGGGACACAATTCAATCCATAATACACTTCTTACAGTTTAACCAAGTGAGATCATCTTTGTCACATGCCTGACACATGATAGGGATGTAGTGTGCAAAGACTTCCCCCTTCCTTATCCTGATCCCCCGCTGGCAACAGCTTGCAGCCTGCTATTGTTTTGGCAGCTTCTCAGGTGGCGTGTGGATGGAGTGGGGGTGGGTGGATGGAGGAGGTAGAACCATGTTGCGAGTGCAGACTCAGGTCAGGCAGCCAGGGTTAGAAGCAAGCTCTACTCCTCAATTGTAAGGTATTGGACCTCTAAGCCTCAATTTTCCTCTTTTTTACAAATTAAATGGGGGTAATAGTAGTAGCTACTTTATAGGGCTTTTGTGAAAATTAAATGATGTAATGTACTTAAAAGCACTTAGCATTCTTATGGCAAATTTTTAAAAAGGGCTCAGTCCTGTTAGCTTTGATTGTTAATAGGAATAAAACTAGAACGTTCTGCACTCATTGTTTCATCTGCTGTACAGGGTTGGGATAAGAATAATGTTATTTTTCTCCCTTTATGGATGAGGAAACCAGCTTGTTGAGGTTAAGTCGCCTGCTGGTAAATGGCCTCATTAGGACTTGGACCCAGATTTCTCTAGCTTTCCCTCTACCACACAGGATTCTGTAAGGAACGTGTGGTGACATTAGCACCATTTGGAAAATGCTGAGACTGAGGGAGAGATGAGAAATCTTACCTCTGCCCACCCAGTGAGACTGGGAAAGTCAAAATTCCAAGCTCCTTCTTGTCTCCTTTCTTCTGGAAGCTGAGCTGCCTTCTTTTAAAATGGTGGCTCTTAACTCTTTAGGGGTCAGACCCATTGTGGATTTGATGAAAACTGTGACCCTTTCTGTAGGAAATGAACATTGAGTTTTTGCATGCAACGACAAGGGTTTATGTACCCAGAAGCACACCCATTACTTCCAGGTTGAGAGCCCCTGGTGTTACTCCCTGTGGCCCGTAGACAGAGATCTCCAAATACCTGTTTCTCTCGGCCTCCCATGGGCATCCATGAGAAACTCACCTGAAGCAGGGAGCCCAGCACAGGTGCCTTGGACAGTTGGACTCTTCTTTAACCAGATCTACCTGAACAGAGCCATCTGGGTGCATGGCATATTGAGGGCATTCAATCACTAACAGGAGAATTCAATGAAGGTTTGCTGCCCTTCACCTCACTTGCTCACGTAAGGAGTTTCTTTTCCATTTTTAATAAGGATGGATTGTTTTAGATGCCATATTTCTGGTTGGTCAGACTCTCAGAAGGACTTCTAGCCTCAGCCTGTTGATCTCAAAGGAAGTTGTTATCTGGTTTTCTGATAGTATTCTGGTGTGGCAAAGCAGCTGTATGCAAACCCTGCTTTACTTAGGGGGCAGCAATGATAGGCCCTCTGTGGGAACTATGTTCCTGACTGTACAGCACACTTCCACCCACCCAGCCGCCGGGCTGAGCATATCAATCCTGATCAGGACACATGTCCCTGGAGATTGGTCAAGGGATGGGTAAAACCAGCTGCTGTTGAGTCAACTCTGACTCATGGCAACCCCACGTGTGTCAGAGTAGAACTGTGCTCCATTGCGTTTTCAGTGGCTGATTTTTCAGAAGTAGATCACCAGGCCTTTCTTCCAAGCTGCCTCTGAGTGAACTCAAAGTGCCAACCTCTCAGCAGCTGAGCATGTTAACCTTTTGCAGCACCCAAGGACTCCAAGGGATGAGGACATGACTCCACATAGGCCAATCCGAGTCTTTCCCTTCTGCTGGAAGCAGCAGAGAAGGCTACCTCCTGCCTCTGGGCTCGGAGAAAGCCCCTATGCAGTCAAAGAGAATGAGGCCATCCCAGAGAAAAGTAGAGTCCAGAGGCTGGGAAGAGAATGAGAAAATCTAGCTGTGCCTGATGCCAATCCCACTCCTGCTCCTCCTAGTGTATCCATCAGGATGGACCAGGTTATGCTGCAGTAACGAACAGTCCCAAGGTCTCAGGCTTCACACAGCAAAAGTTTATTTCTTTTCCTATGAGACATATCTAGTGAAGCCTGGGGGCTGCTCTATTCCCTATAGTCACCTAGAGGCCCAGGATGATGGACACTTCATCTCAACACATGCCTTGATAGTCACCAAAGCAGGATGAGGGAATATGGCAAATTACACACTTGTTCTTAAAGGTGACCACAAGTCACGTGGTCATACCTAACTTTAAAGAATACAGGGAATTTCAATCCTACCATACCAGGAAGAAAGACAAACGGAGTATCTGTGATCAGCAACATTGACCACTATACGCAGTTACCCGAACAAAAAAAAAAATCCTTTTTTGCTTATGCTTGTTGTTGGCTGCCCTTGAGTTGGCGCCTGACTCATGATGACCCCATGTGTTGCAGAGTAGAACTGCTCCATAGGGTTTTCTTGGCTGTAATCTTTACAGAAGCAGATGACCAGGCTTTATCTTCCACAGAGCAGCTGGGTGGGTTCGAACCTCCAACGTTTTAGTTAGCAGCTGAGCGCAAACTGCTTGTGCCATCTAGGCTTAAGCTAGTTTGCACTTACGAACAAAAGAATCATGAGTAATAATGTGCCATCTCAGGATCTTTTCTCATGATAAGCCTCATCACCTGTGTGGCACTTGAAAGCATTTAAAACAGTTTCACAAATACCTCACTTCTCCTTCACCACAGCCCCCAGAGCTCCGTGGCACATCCATTAAGTACTTGTTGGTTTTATCCAGAAGAAGTCAGCTCAGAGAGATCCGGGGCTGAAACAGAACACAAATCTGGGTCAGTGGTTTCTCCATTCCTGCCTCAATTGTGGGAAAAGAAAACCTCTGATTCTTCACAGGTAGCCTGTTTTCCCTTAATTTGATGACTTTCCACTCTGTCCCTTATCAGTTTTGCCTTCTCACTTCTGTCTGGATCATTTTTATTCTCCTTTGCCTTGCTTTTCTGGGGATTTTCAGGTCCAAAGACAAATTGGAATGAGGACCAGAAATTTGGGTCGTTCCCACATGAGCCAGTTTTCCGAGCGCACACAGTGGGCACCGTGTCCAGTAGTCATTAGTCGCGCTCTGTTGTTTGGTATTTACAAACGCCCGGGAAGTGAGTCCAGTACAGTGGGAGAGGCTCTCTGTTCTTTTGTTCAGTAACCTGAGATGTTCACAAAAGTGAGAGGACTTTGTTTTTATTATTTGTTTTTGTATTTTAATCTAGAAACCGTTGAACACCTGGCATCTCGCATTTTGAAAGTTTCCTAGTGGTTAACATTTACAAGAACTATTCTGAACCTGTACCCCTGACTTCTAAATACTGATAATCCCTGAACATTCTCTTACCTGCATGATGTTGACCTTTGCACACTTTCCTTCTTTCTTTAGTGCCCACATTTCTGTGTTTAATTGTCCTTTTTTACAACTACTTTAAGAAAGTAGAAGGATCTCCTAAAAGGATACCCTGGTTGGTGCCAGAAGACCTTGATCTTCAGGGAGAGAGAACCACTCTTCATTTGAGGAGATGTCAACAGCTCTTAAAGGGAAGTCTGAGCAGCTGAGTTTCTATTAGCTGTGGGCTCTTGGGAAAGGCTCTGAGGGGCTTTTACCTCCTCATATGTAAGTGGAGATGAGACAACTACTTAGATAATGCATCTCATAGATTTACAGTGAACTATGTAGACCCCTTAGAAGCAAGGATGGTGAGACTACGTCCCATGTACTTTGGACATGTTTTCAGGAGGGATCAGTCCCAGGAGAAGGACATCGTGCTTGGTAAAGTAGAAGGTCAGCGGAAAAGAGGAAGACCCTCAATGAGATGAATTGACGCTGCAACAGTTGGCTCAAGCATAACGACTGTGAGGATGGCACGGGACCGGGCAGTGTTTCGTTCTGTTGTACATGGGGTCACTATGAGTCAGATCTGACTCAATGGCACCTAACAACAACAACAATAAAATGTAGACCCTCTAGGAGTCCCTGGGTAATGCAAATGGTTAATAAGCTAGGCTGCTAACTGAAAGGTTGGAGGCTCAAGTCTACGCAGAGGTGCCTTGGAAGAAAAGCCTGGTGATCTACTTCCAAAAAAATCAGCGATTGAGTTCTCCTCTGACATATGTGGGGTCACCGTGAGTCGGAGTTGACTCAACAGCAACTGGTATGTAGACCTGCTAGCTGAAGGATGGGACTTTGTTGGGTTTTGGTATCAATACTGCACTAGCCATATGACCTTAGACACCTATCACGTGTTATTTCTATACATCCAACAAGTTGAATGATTAATGAATTGGGAAATGCCTTGAGATATTAGAGAGTGCTGGGGTCATTGTTGCAAACATGCTGGACCCTAGGCTCAGGGAATACCCTCCTGTTAGGATTTCAGGAACTGTGATAAATCTCCTCCTCAAAGCATTCCTTTGGTTTAAGTCAGTGTGTTAGGTAAGGTATTGATTTGGCTGCTTTAACAAAAATCCCAGTTTCCATAGATTAAATTATTTACAAGTTTAAATTCTCTCTCACAAAAAGTCTGAGCTGTAGAAGTTTTCAAGGAGTAGGATGGTTCTGTTCCATGAGATGGTTCACAGACCCAGGTTCCTTCCATCTGTTGCTTCGTCAACCACTCAGGGGTCGCCCTATCCCCATGGTCAAAGCTTGCTCATCATTACATCCCAAGTCTGCATTGCAGCCCACGGG